CTAAGATTTTTTTATTTCCATTAGGGAGATTTAAGGCTAGATATAAAGCAGTGTTTACTGAGCTCCTACTTGATTAACAATAAGGATGATTCAAAGATATCTGCCATGAGAATATAACATAGATACACTTTTCACTTTAACTTTATGAAGATCTGTTTTGCTGGACAGTTTATGATCTAGTCTGTGAAAATCAAACGTTGAGGATTAAATGAGAAAATGTCCAGTGACTAGTGGCAGGCCCTCAGTAAATTCCCAATGAATGGTTGCTCTTAATATGAGTATCCGGACAACAACCAAACAGAATAGAGGGCAAGTTCTCCTACTATTGTACCTATTTTACAGAAGAAGAAACTAAAGTCTGTTTTTAGATTTTTACTACGAGCTGGAGCCAGACTGATAATTGAAATAAACCAAATGTCTCTAAATGTCTCCCAAGGCTAATTCATAACTCTAGATTTTCAAAAGGATGTCATCTCCAACTAAGTATGTGCAGATTCTTGAGAAATTTGACCAGCCAAAGCTACTCGCATTCTACCACTTGAGATGACAAGCCAGGCTCCCTAACTGTAGGGTACCTCAAATAAACAACCCACTTACATATTTAGTTTCCTGCTGGTAACATAAAAATTAATTCAACTAAAATTTTAGAAGCACCATCATTTACCAATATATAAGGGTCATGTGCTGGGCAATATGCATGTTAATGAAAAGGTAGAATTTCCTAGTATCCTTTTATTTCTATTCCTTTTAACCTATACAATTCATTGATCTGAGACATGAAACAGCATGTGTGTCAGAAAAGAGAAGAAAAAGGAGAGCGATGTACAGCTATAGGGGCCACAGAAATTGTTACTGAGTCCCTGAAGACCCATAGTGTTGAGTCAGTGGCATGGCTTATAACAAACTTCTACCCTCATCACAGATTATCATAAACTCACAAGGGAAAAGACCAGAAAGAGACTGGGAAGAGAACCTTACACGAGCTTCGTGATGCATGACACATACGTGATCATATGTTATTAGTGGCCAAGTCAGTATTTCAGATCAGGTCTGACAACCCAATCTACTCCTCCATTTCCAGGATATTTAACCAATGTTTCCCTACTCTGTTACCTACTCTTCAGTTCTCATTCTGAATTGTATGTCAGATAGATTGAAGACTAAGTCAGATTAACATGTTGCTTTGCTCATGATGGATAAGCCAAGATTGCCTTTTAATTTTCTTGACATGTTGCTCTCCTGTTGCAAGTAATTTGTGTTTTGATTCACAAGAGGGATAAAAAAGAAATCCCCAGGAAGGATAAAAAGAAATCAGTACTCTCTGACAAAACTTATATGGAAACAAGAATATATTTCAAACAGTGTTTTAAACTGTTAAGCATAGAATATAACAAGTATTGACTTTCCTAAAAGACATTTGAGTAATTCCAACTGCCATTTAGGGTGGGATGGTGGCTGGACAAGATTGAATCATGCAAGTAAAATAATTTCAAAGCATTCTATTTTCATGTTTAAAACAATATTGTAATGCAAACCATTTTTCCATGATACTAAAAAGATTCTCACTTTATTTTGGAATGTGGATGCTAAATATGTGTGCTGTTTTTTGCTCATGGTGTTCTATTGAGGGGAGTTTTAAGGTTGTTGGGGGCAGAGACAATGTGACCAACTTCATGTTTTGGGCATGTAGTGAGTTCACAGTGAACAACTGTCATTGGTTAAATCTACAGTTAAAGGAAATAAGAATAGCAAGCATAAAACAAAATAATAAGATATATTTCTTCCCCATTGCCAGCATCATGTTAGTCACTAGTTTTCTACTTGTTTTTTGGGAAGAGCTGGTATATTGCCACTGACATGCACCTGACACTCCTACTACAGCAAAGTATTAGCAACAGTATGAATGGTAGTGGTCAATATTTACAGAGTAACTTCAATATAACAATAACTTAAACCGTTTTTAAATATTCTCACATTAACCTGCAAAACACAGGGATTTTTTTATTGCTCAGTAGCCACAGAAAATTATCTAGCCTGCAAGGTCATACAGCTAGAGAAGCAGTACTGTGTGATATTTAAGCACAGGGACTACAGCATCGTACAGTCGTGTATTCGAGACCCAACTCCTCCAATCTCTACTGCTGCTTTACCTCTCTAAGGTTTCATTTGCTGACTACAAATTGTAATTTTCTCCTTCCCATTAGATTCTTGTGAGGATTGAGTGATATAGTCAATGGAAAGAACTTAGCAAAGTGCTTGAGACATGTATATATGTATATATATATACACACACACACATACACATATATATAGACACACACATATACACACACATATGTACACACATATATACATACACATATATATGCACACACACATATATATACACACACACACACACACACACACGAATATACATGTATGCAGAAGAACACTAAAGCCTGTGTTTTCAGTCATGCTAGTTCTCAAAAACTTGGGACTTTCCCAAGGAACTATACTCTCTCTTCATTTCTATGCTTTTGCTAATTTATCTGCCTTTCACCATCTAACTAATAGTGATTTTCTCAGACTACAATATGGGTGATGGTAATTATTCTCTTATTCATTTTTCAAGTCTAAGAATAGCTTATCCAAAAATCATCTATGCCTCCTAAAACTAAGCTCTGTCCCCACAGAATCAAGGATATTATTTCTCCCATATTACTTATTACATATTGGAACATATATGCCTACTTGTCTGTGTCAATCAATAAACCATGAGGTCCTCAAGCACAAGGACTATGTCCTTTTGCTTAGTGTCCCTCAACACCCAACACACGGCCTGATCTGTGGAATATGCCCAATAGATATTGGAATGATGATAAGTTGAGAGAGGGGTGCACACAGGAAATGGGTGAACCATAGATGCTGCCATCCATGTGGATATTCCAAGTTGAAGTGAGCAGATACTGAACAGAGAGGAGAATCAGGGACTCAGCAAACATGTTGCCATGGCTGCATGTACCTGCATTCCCTCCTGTGGTGCAAAGGCCAAATGCTGTAAAAGGTAATGCATACGTATCAAGAATTGGAATCTCTCCATCCCCTCCCAAGCCATTAGAAACCTAAGTTTACCTCAAAGCATGGAAGCTAGACCCTCCCCACACTAGAGAAATGAATAGCAGTGCTGTCTACAACTCACTCAGAGTTCCTCAGAGAGGAGAAGAGTTGTCCTGAGCAGTGCTTCTTAAACTCTGTAGACAATCTTTATAACTGGCAATGTCAGAGTATATATTCTGATTTAGATGTTCTGGGAATGCATAGTTTTTATTAGACTGTACTTTATTTGTCAGGGAAGGAATGCCACACAAGTTGTAGACTGTATTAGCCAGGATTGTTCAGAGAAACAGAACCAATAGGATTCATAGAGATAGATAAATGAGAGGTAGTTTATTAGAGGAATTGACTCATGTGGTTATGGAGGCTGAGAAACCTCAGGTTAGGCCACCTGCAAGCTGGAGAACCAGGAAAGCCAGTAACGTGGCACATTCTGAGTCCAAAGGCCTGAGAACCAGGGAAGCCAATAGCATCAGTCTCAATCTAAGGCCAAAGACCTGAGAACCTAGGGGGAAATGTGGGGGTTTGGGAGGCAGACTGGTACAAGCCTCAGATTCCAATGTCAGAGAACCTAAAGTTCTTGTCCAAAGGCAGACGAAAGATGTCCCAGCTCACTAAGAGAGAAAGAATCCACCTTCCTTCTGCCTTTTTATTCTATCTGGGCCTTCAACAAAATAGCGATGCCTACCCACATTGAGTGAGGGCATCTCTTCCCCACTCACTGCACTAAGTCAAATGCCAGTCTCTTCTGTAAACACCCTCACAGACATACCTACAAATAATGCTTTACCAGTGCTCTGGGTGTTCCTTAGCCCAGTCAAGTAGACACCTAAAATTAAACGTCCCATGGGCAGTGTTACAAAAACCAAATAATAATAATAATAACATTGAGACATCTTTTTCTAGACCAGTGTTTCTCAACTTTAACTGCACATTTGAAAGACCTGGAAAGCTTTGTTAAATATATATATATATATTTTAATACACTGTCATCTCCACCTCCTTTCTCACCAATTGATCGGAGTTTTGGGAATCTTGTTTCAAGTGGTTCTAATGAGAAGCCTGTGGGGAGCCACTACCCTACCAGTCAACTAGCGTCACTCCAAATCTGGTCCAAGTCCTGGTGTGTCCTCAAACTATTTCTTGCTGGTTCGTGACGAGATAAGTACTGAAACTGAGAATGTGTCTTACTGTGTTCATGCTATTGTAGAAAAATACCATAGACTAAGTGACTGATAAGCAACAGAAATTTGTTTCTCACAGTTCTAGAGACTGGGAAATCAGAAATCAAGGTACCAGCAGATTCGTAGTCTGGTGAAAGCCCATTTCCTGGTTCATAGATGGCACCTTCTCATTATACCATCACTTTGTGGAGTGGCAAGGCAGTGGGGTCTCTTTTTTTAAGAGTGTGGATTTCATTCATGAGGGCTCTAGCCTTATAATCAAATCACTTTCAAAAGCCCTACCTCCTAATACTATCACATTCGTGATTAGGTTTCAACATATGAATTTTGAGTGGACATAAACATTCAGACCATAACAAAGTGCTTAGAAACTTTTTGTAGCAATATGACAAATTAAGTTTATGTTTATTGAATATAATAATAAAAGCAGATGGATTCACACACACAAAAAGTAGTTGGCTTACAAAGAAACACATTGAATCCTCCTGAAAGAACGCTCTAAGTAACTAAACATATACATCTCTGGAAGTGAGGAGGATACACCGAGCCCCTTCTTTAAGCTGTTACATCTTAAAGCTGAAACGTTAACTTCAGTGATAAATTCCTCAGGCAGAGCATTGGCACCTGGGTACAACAGGGTTAATGAGCAGGAGCAGGGTAGGTGGGGTTACAAATCAGGAACACATGCCCTCCGAGTTAGATAGCTTTTTTTCCTTTTTAATTACCCTTACAACACACACACTCTCGCATAACACGGAAGGTGAGAGCTGAATGAAGTTTTCTGGGTAATGGCTTGAAATGTTTTCCTTATGAGAAGTGGTGTTGAGTTACAGCGTGCAGACAGAGAACGGGGAGGAGAGAAACAGCAGCCTCAATCTGGCCCCCACCTTTTCTTGGGCTTGTAGGAAGGTGGACACGGGCTCCTGGGGACCAGACAAGTGATATGTTGAACTGCTTCGTGGCTGAAATCAACTGCTTCTGGAGTGACCTAAGGCCAGTGTTTGCCAGAACTGAGCCAGGGCCAGCCAGGCAGGCACAGATGCTCTGCTGTGAAATGCCACGCAGGCAGAGACTGACAAGCGGTAGGAGCTGAGCTTTCCCCTTGGACGGCTGCTTCCTGCTGTGTTCAGGGGAGGGGGTCACTTTCTGGCAACTCTGCTGCTGCTGCTGCCGCCGCTGCTGCTGCTACTACTACTTCAGCTCCTTCTCCACTCAAGGTAAGCAGGCTAAGGGAGGGCAGGCGCCAAGCGAAACACTTGTACCATGAACAGGATCCGAAAGTTTTTCCGAGGAAGTGGGCGAGTCTTGGCATTTATCTTCATAGCTTCTGTCATCTGGCTGCTCTTTGACATGGCAGCTCTCCGCCTCTCATTCAGCGAGATCAACACTCGGGTCATCAAGGAAGACATCGTGAGGAGGGAACGGTTAGGATTCAGAGTTCAGCCAGACCAAGTGAAAATTTTTTACAGCAGCATAAAAGAGATGAAACCTCCCCTAAGGGGACATGGGAAAGGGGAATGGGGCAAAGAAAACTTTAAAAACACTGAGGAGAGTGTGCTCAAGGTTGAGGTTGACCTGGACCAAACCCAGAGGGAGGGAAAATTGCAGAATGCCCTGGGAAGGGGCAAGGTTGTGCCATTGTGGCATCCTGTGCATCTGCAGACCCTCCCCGTGACTCCTAACAAGCAGAAGACAGAAGGGAGAGGCATCAAACCTGAAGCCTCCTCTCACCAGGGGACACCAAAGCAAATAGCAGCTCAGGGGGCTCCAAAAACCTCACTCATAGCAGCAAAAGGAATTCCATTAGTTACAACGTCAGTACATATGGGACCCCTCAGTTTAAAACAGGAGGCCCTGAAGAGTCATAGCCCTAGCAGTGATATATCAACACTAGCGGCTGAAAGGGACTTGAATGTGACCATCCATCTTACTACTGACAGACCAAAGCAGCGATCACAGGCAGTAGCAAAAGAGAGGACACACCCTGCCAGCACACCAGTGTCGAAGTCTGGGGAAGCCATAGCCTTAAACAAAACTGAAACTCCGAGCAAAGAAGTAAATGCAAATAAACACAAAGTCAATAAGAGTCATCCTTTTTCTAAGTTCATTGTCAATTCAAATCGCTTAAGGAAGCAATCTATTAATGAGACGGCTTTGGGAAGCTTGTCAAAGAATGACAGAGCTGGAGGGGCTCATGGAAAGAAACTCAATTTCTCTGAAAGCCACATTGTGATTATAACCAAGGAGGAAGAGCAAAAGACAGACCCCAAAGAGGTCTCCAATTCTAAAACCAAAATTATATTTCCGAACGTACTGGGTAAAAGCCAAGGTAAACACATTTCCAGGAATAGAAGTGAGATGTCTTTCTCTTCACTTGCTCCACAGAGACTACCACTGTCCCAAACTAACCACGCTTTAGCTGGGGGGCTAGAGCCAGCCAAAATCAACCTAACTTCCAAGGCCCCCCCTAGAGAATACAACCAGAGTCATATAAAAGCCCTTTTACCTGAAGACTATGGGATGCACCAGGTGTTAAGAATTGATGTGACGCTTTCTCCAAGGGACCCCAACGCTCCAGGGCAGTTTGGGCGCCCCGTAGTTGTCCCCCATGGAAAGGAGAAGGAGGCAGAAAGAAGATGGAAAGAAGGAAACTTCAATGTCTACCTCAGCGATTTGATCCCAGTGGACAGAGCCATTGAAGACACAAGACCTGCTGGGTAAGACCTATTTCTCTTCTCTTTCCTCAACCCCAAGTGCTTTGGCTCCTACTTAGAGAGGATTTCTTGCTAGATAATTTTGCATGATTTTTGGTCACCTTGAGAATTCAGGAAACATTAATCATTGGATATCATTCAAACATTTCACCAGCTACACAGAGAAAAATTCTCAAATCAGCAGTTGCAGAGTTCTCGTTCTCTGAGACTTTGGTCCCCACCATTAGCTTATGTTCAATTTCCTTCCCTCTGCTGAAAACCTATTAAAATGATTAGATGAACTCAGTTCATAATAACGTATATTTGAATGGTAGAGCTTAAAGTGTAATTCCATTAGAATAGTGACAATGAAGCGAATTCCCAATTTTGGAACTTTTCATTATTAGCAAGTCTGTCAGGAATAAATTTGGGAAGGAAGCACACAGAAGGACTCTTCTTAGATCTCCCTGGAATCGTATCTTAGCCAGAATTCTGCCTAATCATGAGTACTGATAACCAGAATAGAAGAGAAGTGACTTTACTCCCTAAAATTTAAAATCCTTTATAGGTGGAGATGGTAGACATTTCAAGAGATCAGTTACATAGGAATAATAATGTTGGAAAAAGTCAATCAGTCCATGACCAGCAAACACCTACAGGAGCTAAAAAACATCATAATAATCACTTCCATTTATGTTTGCAGGGTTTTACTATTTACAAAGAGCCTGCATACATACAGATGAACTGTGTATGAGTCCTGGAAAGGAGTAGGCAGGAATTATGGTTCAAATTAACACACTGATGAGGGCACTTAGAAGTTACAACAGTTTCACAAGGTAATGCAGTTCTAAAGCTGCCCAGTGGGCCTTCAGGAACCAGTTCTTCCAAGAATTAAATTCCTATAACTCTATCACCAGAGGTGGATCAAAGCATAGATATTTAATCTGATTCAAATATAATTGGGTTCCTGGCATTTTTTTCTTGGCCCACTGATAAGTGAAGGTACTCTATAACCATATGTTCAATATCTGGTAACTCGGTTCCCTGAGTTGAACAATATTTGCCAGGAAGTTGGATTGGGGAATATCAACATTGAGACTTAGCACATGTGGCATGCAAACAGTGACCTTGTTTGGCTTCTGCAGAAAATTCTTCTTTGTGATCTAGCCAGTCAGCATTACATTTTAGTCAGTGTTACTAGGAGGAAAGCAGATACAGGGGAAGCTTTATCCATATTAGTAAGAAGAGTCTCTTCACTGTGATGTTGGCTATAACCAGGTTGTTGCCTACCTCGTAGCCATCAGCAAATGGCTATCAGCCATGCACTGCTTAGTTCGAGCACTGTGCCATTCGCATTCCTCACCCTGGTGATAATCACAGCCTTGAAAAGAATCCAGACATACTCAATGATGAGGAAACTGAGGCCCTGGGAAGCTAGACTGCCTGTAGTCACAGAGCTAGACATTGTAGAGAAATGATTAAAAATCATGCTGAAAATTATTCTGTGCTCTCTTCCATCTCTTGCCAGTCTCTCCTCAAAAAGGACCCTAAAAATTATGTTGGCCAGCTCTAATCTAAAGTCCTGTGTATCATAGGATTACACATGCCAGCCTTGAACACAAAGTGCAAGGAAGCGAAGTAACTGTTGAAGCAGCTTCATTTTAACATGCCCTTATTGACCTGGCAGGCTGCTAGGGAGTCTGGGGAGAAAGCAGACACTGCACAGAAGCACAAACTCCAGTTCCAAACCAGAGAAAAGCATGTGCATGGCGGGGTGGGGGTGACCAAAGCAAGTAATCATGATTATATCACCAGTGTGGCTCACTGAAGGCTCACCGGCTCCCAGTGGTTCTTAGTTTCTATACTTTTGTCTGAAGGAGTTGAGCCTTGCAGCCCAGGAAAGTTATAGTCAGGCTCTGTCTTCTGAAGGAGGTTGTCCTAACTGTAGGAAAAACTGACACGTGTGCTTGAGAGGATGAGTCAGAGAGCATGTGGCTGGGCCTCCTCCCGCTTATCACATAACCCACCTTGGTTAAATACAGGTGTGCTCCCAAGTTGCCTGGCGGATGCTGCGCTCTACTCAGGGGTCCACTACCAAAGATCCTGGACCTGGGGCCTTCCACAGTATTTTTTGATCCTTTTGTAGCCCTCTTCTTTGAAAGAGGATAAATCATTTTTTGTTCTTTTACCCAAACACCCTGACTATAAATATGTGTAAATTATGTATTCATAGAGATAAAGGTTAAAGAAAATATGATCAAAAAACATTTGATTCATCAGGTTGGCAGGAGTTGGAGTGGTTTTTTTTTTTTTTTTTTTTTTTACTTTGGCTTTATTTATTTTCAGCCTTGCTCAAAACGTGTTTGAGGTAGCTGCTTACAGGAACACACGCAGTAAGATTTTTTTAAGATAACAAGTTTTAAAAGTCAGCATAAGGGGAAAATTGTTATAAAATAGAATAAGAAAATGATGGATGCAGCAAACCACCATGGCACGTGTATACCTATGTAGCAATCCTACTCAGTCTGCACGTGTACCTCAGAACTTAAAGTATAATTTTTTTTTATAAAAAGGAAAATGAGTGTGTATGTGTGAGAGAGAGACAGAGAAATAACTATACAAACACTGGAGGGCTAGCTTAAAATTAGCTGCAGTAGCATCCCTCTGCAACCTTTAAATTTTAAGAGTTTGGGAGAATATCTTCCTTATTGACCTATTCATTTTCCCAAAATCCACTGTTATAGACAAATTCACACATAACTCGCATATCACAACTGCTCATTGAATGTAGATTGAACAAAAAATCCCACTGATTTTGTATATTCATTTAAATTTGACTTCCCCCAGTGAAGATAAGAACTAGGTAGTAGTTAAGATCATCTTACAGATGAATTAGCTGATGTGCTAGGGTGAAGCTACCATTAAGAAGTAGAGGACAGCTATGGTGTCTCACATCTGTAATCTCAGCACGTCGGGAGGCCATCTGTTGGAGGATCCCTTGAGCCCAGGAGTTTGAGATCAGCATGGGCAATATAATAAGACCTCATCACTACCAAAAATTTTAAAATTACCCAAGAGTGATGGTGCATGCCTGTAGTCTCAGCCACACAGGAGGCTGAGGTGGGAGGATAACTTGAGCCTGAGAGGTTGAGGTTGCAGTGAGCTAAAATTGTGCCAGTGCACACTAGCCTGGGTGACAGAATAAGACCTTGTCTCAGAAAGCAGCCACAACAAGAAAAAGGTAGAGGAGACAGGCAGGAATTTCTAGGACAACTTCTCTTACTCTAGTTCTAAAATCAGATTCTCTTTTCCAAATCTGCTCTGTCCTCCTTTTTCTCCTGAGTCCTAAAGGACCATTTCTAAAATGTTAAGATATAATTTCACACCCCTTTCTGTTCTTAGGGTTACTCACGTGGTCCTTTTCTGTCTGCCCAGGTTTCTGTCCTTTGTGGAATAGCAATAGCACCCTGCACATGACATTTTCTCCAAGCTGGGCCTTCAGCATAAGAAAAGCTAGTCTCTGCTCTTCTCTACTCATTAAGGTTGTAACCATCCATTGAGGTTTTCATTCACTGGTCCCTTCCTGTAGTCTCTCTCCAGCCTCCCCATTCTCTTGCACACATTCTAATCCAACATTGCTCAAAATCCAACCGTGGCTTCCCTCCAGCTGGACCATGAGGTAGGTGTGACCTCTAAATCCCAATGACCCTTAGTGTACACAGGCCTTCTAGCTATGAAAACACTCTGTATCGTGTGCTCTTCATTAACTGGATCCTTGAATGTCTGTTTTGTCTTCTTAGTGAAATTATAAGCTTCCGAAGGAAACTCTATCTTTAGCTTTACTTTGTACTCCTTTAGCACTGACCACAGTGCTGTGCATTCGAAAGCAACTGGTTTACACAGTATGAATTCAAAAGGCATGTTTCTCTGAATGATTTTTGAAAATTGATACTACATTAAGAATAATCAAAAGGCAGCAATTCAAATGAAACCTGCAACAAGTCTATTTATAAATCAATAATGACTTCTTCATTTTTCGTTTTGAATATATGGACTACATTAAAATCTGATTTAAGGTAAATACATCATATTTAACACTATGATCTATTCACTAATTTGTGTTTATTACTTATTTCATATTTTTGTTGTTGTTTTGGTTCTTAATTTTAACATTTTGGCTTTCAAGAGAGGAAAGTCTATTTTATTTACAAGAATATTTTATGTCAGTATGTAAAATACAACTTAATTGTTGCCTAGAAATTTTGCCTATAAAATTTGCTTGAAATAAAATGCTTTTATGATGGTTATTTTAAAGTTCCATATTTAATCTTTTTTAAATTAAAAGCTAATCCTGGTAGTTCTTGCTCCTAATTATTGAACCTTGTTTCTGTCAGCAGCAATCAACACACACACACACACACACACACACACACACACACGTACAAAGAGGTTTTGCTAAAATGTAGTCCTATGTGAAATGCAGGGCAATTCTACTTGGAGAAGTCTGTCTTTTGGCCTGAAGCTATAGTTAAGATGGAACTCCAAAAATGAACTTATTTTAAGAGTGTACTTCCTGAATCTGAATTTAGAGAAAAATGACTCAAAGGAATTTTTGCTGCCAGTATTTAGTTTTTAAAGTACAATAAGAATTCTGGCATGGTTGTCTACCACTGCTGTGTCCTTGTAATGTTACTCAATTGCTTAATTTTATGCTTTGCATTCCCTACAAAACTCTGGCAAGCCCCTCAATAAAGCAATTAAAATGGGTCTTTATTCTCTTAGCCCAGAGCCAGGACTGTCAACCAATAATTTGATTCCTTCCTACACAGCTAAAGAAAGGTTTTTTCTGGCGCATTTGAAAAGCAAAAGATAGCACCATGCATTTGTCACAAACCAATCTAAATTACTGGGGGGAAAGAAAAACTTTCTGGGACCTTAATTTTGATCCTAGCAGGGTCAAAAACTGTAACTAATGAGTTACTGGAGGAGGAAGAGGAGGAGAGGGAGGAGAAAGAAGACAGAAAATAAACTGACCAGGAATCCTCCAAACTTTGAGCTTCTAAAAGTTTATCAGGCTGAGAGAAAAAAAGAAACTTTAAAAAACACAAATTTTTAATTTTTACATGGGACACAAATCTTAATTGATGAAATGGACATGGCTTTGTGACTGATAGTAATTGGAGAATATTAATTAAAATTGATTGGAGAAGCTATGAGATCTCCTTGGGAAACTAATTGGAGGCAGAAAAAAGAACTCCTCACAAGAAAAATTCAAAAGGCTTTACTTCCTGCTTTTACCTCTATGCGTGGAAGCAATGCAGTAGTGCCTTTTGAATAGTGTGTATGTGTTCACTTTTGTGTGCACGTGCGTGCACTTGTGAGCATGTGTGTGTGTGCATGTTAGGGCCCAGTGTGCTATTTCACTCAAAAGTCATGTAGGAGAGCAGGAGATGAAAAGGAAAATTTGTTAAAAGAGTTCAGACTAGACTGCAACACATCGAAGGTTAAACATGGCTGAAGTACGATGAGTCGGCCTTTGAATACTTGTATTTATCCCACTCTCTTCATAACAAAAAGAACAACAAAGACAACAAATATCAGAGGAGAAGAATGTAAAGCACAATTCTGCTACTAGTTCAAAGAGAAGAAAACGGCTAAACAGTCCCTAATTAATACAAAACTGAGAAATGTTAAAGCAAATTCCTGACTTTTCCTCCTAAATACCGTGAAAGACCTAGAAACACCCCTGGGAGAGAGTAGTTAGTAAATGCAGGCATTTGAAAGAAGTATACTTTTTCAAATGTTGAACCCAAGGCCCAATTTAACCATCAGCATAATGTATCAAACTGTTGCTGTAATACTGCCCTGGTACTCTTGGCCCCGAAAATAACTTCCTGTTGGGCTTTTCTAGCTGATCCAATCAGGACAGAGCCTCTCAAGAGAGAAACAACTTCTTTTGCTCAAGGTTCAGAAAATTCAGGGAAAATGGCAATATTCAGAAGCTGTATTTTGCTGTTTGCTTTCTAAATGAAAGGAGCTTTTTAGAGTCTCCTGGAAAAACAGCTATATTATTGCAAACTCAAGTAGCTTCTCAGTTGGCCTTGCTTCTAAAATGTTGATAATCTGGATATGTGTGAGAAGCAGCAATAGGAAGAAACAGTGCTTACAAAGGCCTTCACTACTTGCCTTCTCAATTGTTTTAATCCTTAAAACAATTCCTGAAGGTAGATACTACCATCATCCCAGCTTTACCTATAGAAAAACTGAGATTTGTCTAGGTGCAGTGGCTCAAGCCTGTAATCCCAGCACTTTGGGAGGCCAAGGAGGGCGGATCACTAGGTCAGATAATTGAGACCATCTGCCCAACATAGTGGAACCCCGTCTCTACTAAAAATACAAAATAAGTTAGGCATGGTGGCACACACCTATAGTCCCAGCTACTTGGGAGGCTGAGGCAGTAGAATTGCTTGAACCCGGAAGGCAGAGGCTGCAGCAGAGATTGTACCACTGCACTCCAGCCTGGGTGACAGAGTAAGAACCTGTCTCAAAACAAAAAACAAAAAAAAAAAAAAAAGAAAGAAAGAAAAGAAAAACTGAGACTTACTGAGGAAACTGGGGTTTCAGATAATAGTGGATATTTCAGACAGCGGGAGTTCATTTCATTGCATGTGATATTTGCTCACTGCCTATCAATCAGGAGCAGTGCACCATGCTAGGCAGCTGAGCCCTTTCATTCTTCATGAACATTATCTCATCTGATCCTTGTGGCCACGCCAGATTAGTAAAGTGTTACATCTCTTTATTAACAAATGAGGGGGAAAAACAGAGCACATGGTAAAGTAACTTGCCCAAGGGATCACAGCTCACAAGTGCCAATGTTGGGACCCGACATTTAGTTTTCTGATTCTTTCTCACTCAGTAATAATTCCACTGCACCAGACTGGTTCTCTCTCCACCCCTGCCACTCTCCACATGTAGGGATCATCATCACCTGCACCTCTCCTTGGCTTGCCAAGGCCCTCTGCATAAAGGGGAATCCCTCACTTGCTCAGCTTCACACATTAAAAAAAAAGTGCTTAGTTTTGTTCCAGTTGGTGATGTTTGTGTATGAATATATGTATGCATGTATACTTATGTGTGTATGTGTGTGTGTTTGTATTTCAAGCAATCCTCACAATAACACGATGAGATATTAACTCTCCTATGTTTTACAGTTGAGAAAAGTGAGGCTGTAAAAGAATAAATGATTTATCCACTGTCCAGCAAGCTAATCCCAATTTTTAATTCTACTGTTCTTTCCACAGGGAACAGCTCCTCCTTCCTTTGTTTCCTTGTAGTCATATGACTTTGGCAGAAATTAAAACATCTCTCTTCCTTATACATGGGTAAGAGGTGCATGAGGGGAATTAAGTTTGCATGACATGTACCTAGTCAGAGAAAAAAATCACGGAAAACCATTTCCTATACTGCACTAAGCAAAGGTGATTCTTTACAACTGGGACATAACCACAGCCCTACAGTGAATCTCCCTGGGCTGCTACTGTGCAGTATGGCATCAGAGCACGGTCATTGACTTCAAGGCCTGTATAGCAAAATGTGATGCAGAAACACAGGGTACTACTGGAAAAAAAGAGATAAAAGGCTAAACTTGGTCTGAGAGGGAACAGAAATGTTTGAGCTGTAACCTGAAAGAGTAGAGAGTCAGAGAAATGGGGAAAGCAGTAAAAAGAATGATTCACTGAGAAACTGAGGGAAATCCAACACAGGTTGCAGGAAAGCAATGAGGAGTAAATGAGGTCATAGATGTAAGTAGAGTCCAGATCACTCAGAACCTTGTTCAGGTTCTTCTAAGGGCCAGGGAGAAACCATTAAAGGATTTAAAACCATAGACATAACCATTAATTTGCCTTTTCTCAGGGGTCTTATGACCCAAAGGAAAGCACTTACAAGCAAATGCAGTTGAAGTTGCATAGAAAACCACAGAATGTTAATACTAGGTGAAGATTTGAAAGCGATCTAATCTAGCCCTTTATGTTACAGATAAGGTTCCAGGTGAAAAATAACTTGCCCAAGGTCATACACAGCAGGAGAGACAGAGCATCCCCACCTAGCATTATTTCTGCCATATCCCACCACCTCCCCCTCTTCTCCCTGCCATCCCAATTTCACTGTGACAGCTTCCTGCTCAAAATAGACTATTATTGAAGTGGTGAATGTTGATGCCAGTGGCTTATATTCTAAGCCTGAATCCTGTCACTTTGATGAATCTACATTTACCACAGCAACCACAGCAGCAGCTGGCTAAGGACTTTGGAGTAGAAGTGATGAGTGTGACTTAAATTTTCTGAATCAGTAGCCAGGTGATTCTGACTGAATGTCACGGATAGTCTGCTCTAGAAAGAACAAGGCATGAAAGCACAATTTTTATATTGCTGTACCTTCTTATCAGTGAGAGGGAAAGCGACCTCAACAACTCTAAGGTCTAGGAGAAAAGAATAAAATTCCAAGCAGAGCTCTTCAGCTGTGTGCTCAATTCTCCTCCTGATGTTCCTGAGATACCAGCGCTTCGGGAATGAAGGCCCCTGAAGGCTCGCAACAAGGCAGTAGTTGAATTGCAAATAGAAGTTATGAAAATATTCTCCTTGACCTTCTGTTCAAACCTGTGAAGCCTGAGACCTGACCCATATAGTACATCTTGACTGTCTTGGAATAAAATGAAAAATTCATAGAAATGAGAGAATGTTATCATTCCCTCAATCTTCTGATTTAAAACCTTCTCTATTTGATAGGCTACATTCAAATCAAGTTAGTGGTTCAGCATTCAGCACATAGAAGTCAGGAGGGCGGGATGCATCACTTTCTGGGCTTCTCGATAAATGATTGAGCACTTGATAGATTCAGATTAAAGGACTGCCTCAGAAAAGGGCAGTGTGCTCCATCAAAATGTGTGTATTTGCATTATGGGTAATCGTAGATTCTCACATGACTTTTTCAGCATGAAGCTTACAAAGTATTTTTACATCCATTATCTCATCAAATCTTCACCACCATTCTGTAATGAAGGCATTGTAATATTCATTATAAGAGTGAGGAAACTAAGGTTCTAGGGTCCTAAGTGACTCGCCCATGGTCAGAAGGCCAATAAACACTAGACTGAACTAAAAACTTAGTCCTCGTCATCTTTCTCAAGTCCAGGGTCTTTCTGCCTTCCACAGTAGTATATCAGCTAAGTGCAGGATAGTGAAACTCCCCACAGTAGAGACCCCATTTGTTTGTGGAACTTGGATTGACTACAGTAATCTAAGCCTTGATTTCCTCCAGACAAAATAGATTGGGTTAATTTTTAAGTACAGCACGGGACCAGTAGACTCTAAATACCTAATTTGTGTAATAAATAGGCATACAGAATATAAATATGATTTCTTAGCCTCAAAAAAAGTTTACGAACCTAGAAATATCTGGCATTCAAATTAGACTTTGCAGCAATTCCTCCTCCCACGATATAGGAAGAAATCAAGGAAAAATTGGAATAAAGGAAACTTGCTTGAATTAGGTTGGTGTAGGATAACTTGAAATAGTTTTTACAACCTATGAAAACTAGATGACATATGTTCTGTCCAGAATATTCTCTATTCTCCTCAAGCTCCTACCCTATTACATTAGCAAGTAACTTTTCTTCCAGTATGAAGACTGGTATGAGAGTTTGAAATGCTGAAAGCTTTTCTGGAGTGACCCACTGTTCCTTTGAACAAAACAAGCACACTGGTTTTTCTAGATACCCAGAAACATGTTTAATCTGTTTAGTAATGCAGGAGAACAGGCCTCTGTAAATATGAGAGTGCCCTGACATGCCAGTCACCCCAAACCAAGGCACGCCCTGAAACTTTGTGTAGGGAAGCTCTGGCATCTCTTCCTGGATCCCTGTTTCCCATCCTGTAACATTGCCTTTACCAGGCACTAATATGATCTGTACCATATAATCTCCACAGAATATTCTTCATTGTAATTCTCTCTCTGTCACCCAGGCTGGAGTGGAGTGGCATGATCTTGGTTCATGCAACCTCTACCTCCCGGGTTCAAGAGATTTTCCTGCCTCAGCCTCCCAAGTAGCTGGGACTACAGGTGCCTGCCACCACGCCGAGCTAATTTTTGTATTTTTAGTAGAAACAGGCTTTCACCATATTGGCCAGGCTGGTCTTGAACCCCTGACCTTGTGATCTGCCTGCCTCAGCCTCCCAAAGTGCTGGGATTACAGGTGTGAGCCACCATGCCCAGCCTCTTCATTGTAACATTTTAAATTCACCTAAGCTACGTATTTGTCAATAACTAGAAAGGTACTACTTATTTTCTGGGGTATTGGCATCTAGTGGAATCCTTCAGAATCTCCCCACATAGGGTACTAAGGCACCATGACACAATTGAGGAAATGGAGAATTCGCTATTTGGTGATTAAAGGTCCCTTCCCCAAATCTCTCAAATTTCTGTGAATTTTTCTTACTTCCAATTTCAAACTATCTAGCATTTTTTAGAACTTCCTTCTAAAAAAGACAAAAACTCTACTAATTTAAAATATAGAAAGATTTATTTGTGTGAGCCTACTTAGTTAACTCTTTCTGATACAATTCCTTTTGTCGCTGGATATTTCTAAAGCCAATCAAATTTTAACCATAAAGCAACTTTCAGGACTTCACAGCTAGGTTTATTGCTTTTTGCAGAATTTGTGCAATTGATCCTTTCTTTTTAGAACTGGTTTGATTTTTTTTTTCAGCACCAGATACTGTTAAAAAAAAAATTAAGTGTGAAACGTGCATTTCTCATTAATTTATATTACAGAATTACAGATGAGGAAGTCATAGGCAGTAGCTGTCATTTTCTTCTCTACCCTCCCTTTCACTCAGGCTATTAAACTCCTCTTAACTTTACTTCTTTCTCTGACCCAGAGCCCGTGCTGGAACATTCAACGACCTTACACCAGTCCCCTCACCGCTACCCATTCTGTTTCTACCTCATCTGCTCTGATGTTTCTTAAACTCATATTAATCCAGCAATTTGCTTTATCTCATCTTACACTCAGGCTGGCAGGCACTGCTGGAGCAAATCAGATATTGAAGTTTCATAAAATTTTGACATCTCCAGTTTCAGGAAATTGCTCACTGCCCCTCTGAAATTCGAGCTAGCTGCCTAGCACTCTCTCCCATTGCCCATAGTATCTATCCAAAATATTCTCCATTCTCCTCAAGTCCTCTAGCCTAATACATCAACAGATAACCTTTCCTCCACTATGAGCTACGAATATTTTCAACATCTCATCCCATGTGCATAAATGTATCTGTATATGTTACCACCTCTTTGTACTTTCTACCTCAAAGGGAAATATCTCTTTATTTAAGCTTTAAATTTAGGCTTTGTCTCATCTCCATCCCTCCACCCATGCATTCAATATATACTTAGCAATTATTTATTTTATGTAGCTATGCTGGAAGTTTGTAGCACTGTAATAAGCAAGACAGATTTGTCCTGGCCTCAGAAAATTTTGGATGCCGAAGATAAGGAAATAAAACTGATAAAATGCTATGACAGAAACACAGTTGACCACAATAGGGGAATAATAAAAGAATGGCTAAATTTTGAGAGGATAGTCAGAGAAGCCATCTCTGCAAAGGGAATATTTAAACTAGGACCTCAATGAATAGCAGCAGTCAGCCATGAAGACATGGGAAGGGTAGCCAAAATACTAGAGGTTAAGCAAATAACAAAAGCTGGAGCATTCTTCAAGGAACTGAAAGAAGGCCAAGGTTGAGTGTGGAATGGCAGGTAGTTGGAAAGGTGAGCAGGGGTCCTATAAACTAAAGAATTTGGATTTTTTTCCTTTTCACTTTTTCCCATAGAAATTGACGGAAGGATTTTAAACAGGAAGAGTGGTGGTGATGTGGCAAACCAGGGAGTCTCCCATTAGGAGACTCCAGCAATAATCCTGGAGTAAGAGGGTGGATGCTCAAGAGCTAGGGGAAGCAACTGTGGAGGTATAAAGATGTTAGAGTTGAGATATCTGTTGGCAATACACAGGATAGAAGTTGAGAGATTGGTTGTATTATGGTCAGGAAGAGGGTGAAGTCTAGAACAGCATCCGTATTTCTGCAGCAAGGTGGGTGGTGATGCCATTATGATTGGAAATGCACAGGAGCTGGCTGGGTTGAGTGGGGTGAAGTCAAGGTTTCTGCTTCAGACACATTAGGAGTAAGATGCCTGTGAGACATGCAGAGGAGATGCTCAGAAGCTGTTTGGATATAATGTAAGTCTGGAATTTAGATGAGAAATCTGACCTGGATAGAAACCAGGAAGATATTATCACACTTAAAACTGTGGGCGTGGATGGGCTCATACA